GGCGCGCGGTGTGCGGTGGCGTCGCGACGCCGGCGCAGTTTCGTCGATCGATTCCACGTTTTGCTAGCCGTGTACTCTCTCTCTCCGTTGGGTGGTGTGCAAGCGAGGTCGAACGGAGACGGCCAACTAGAAGGAAGAAACGGCTACGCGTTGAACGAGGAAGGAGCTCGAGGGTGAAGAAGAAGCGAGAAAGAGAGGGCGGGTGGCGAGGGTGAGAAAGAGAGTGACAGACGAGGAGTGGGCGAGGAGGGACGAAAAGGGAGAGCCGGACGAGGTATTGGTGCGCGTGTCTTTCGGCGACAACGCGTACGAACTGAACGTGTGCAGGACCCGAAAAAGGTGACAGATTACGGGGAAGGTTTGCTCGGGCCGAAAAAACTGGCCGGTACTTTCGGCTGTGTGCCTCCCTCGGTTAAAAATATTCGCGCACAGCGGTGCAGGATGTCAGCGTTGCGGATTTAGAAGAGACAAACGTAACCTTCTCGCAGGCTGGACGCCGGGATCGATCGTAATACAGTCTTCTTAACAGCCGGCTGACACTGGCCCGAAGACATGGATTACCGGTCTATTGGCACCAGGTGCGAGGATGATTGCCTGGAGAACGAGAAAGGAATCGGTTTTGCGGTAAGGGATGCATCCTTCTATGTGTTTTCGATCGACCATCGTTTCGTCGTAACTTTCACGCTATGACACATCGTGACCACTTTTGCGCGATAGATATTGCCTTATCCTCGATAGCCCGTTCTCTCTTTGCCGGGTGTTTCTCTAAGATGGTCTACGAGACGTCACCTGGGTTGTGTTTGTCCGAATATATCTCCTCGTCCATGTAAGATCTGGGTCTCCCTTGACGCAGTGCATCTGGTGATAAATAATACGAAGAAGATTAATGCCGTTTGTGACGACACATTGCGAAATTCATGCGCCAAAACAACGCACGATGAATATCTGCCCCGTACGTGCAGTCGCTGTGCAAGGGCTTGGACGTTAAATTACCAATCAAGAGGATTTTATCGCAATCGCTGTAGAGGGACGATAAGAAAAATGATTCATTATCGTCGAGTGGAAACCACGTGTCAAAATTGTTTTTAATCGGATAAAACGATTCTAAATTATGCCACTTGACCGAGTGCAACGCTCCTTGCATCAATTACACAAGGAATTTCTTTTTTGTGGCCATCGGATTTCGTTTGATTTTTCTTTTACGTGATTTCTCTTGCAGAGGGAAGCGGATATCGACGAGTTTATACGCGTTTCGTTTTCCTTGTATTTTCATTGGGAAGCACTTAAACGCGACTCTGTGACTCGTAGAACGAGTATACGAAAAGCGTAGAGAAGTTCGTCGATTTGGGAACGTAGTTGCTCTATTTCTGGACTTTAAATCGGGTTACCTCGCATTTTTGAGATTTTGGTTTCACCGTGCAGTTACCTGGCACGTGTGATCATCGATGCATCACAATCTTACGATTGATACGTTACGTCGAACGGACTGTATACGATATCCATTTTTAATATCATACAGCAGTTGTGCTACGAGTTTGTTCTTCGAGTTTTGTTTCGTCGTCGCTGTTATCTAGTTATCAAATTATGAATCATTTAAGAAAAAAATATTCCACGTATTTCGTGCTCGATATAATCGATCACAGATTAGTTGAAAATTTATCAAGTTGTATATTTGTAGAAAGTAAACGGTGCAAGTGTCGTACAATTAGAGGTACGCGTGAATGAAAAATCCATATCCAATTTGAAAATGAGGACGGTAATTAGATCAGGTTCTTACCTGCGTAAATCGACAAGAAACAAATTGAAACATTTTATAAAACAACGAGCAATCTTGTTCCATTGCAAAACAAGATTTCTTATTATTCGAGAATATAATTTGATACGAAAGAATTAATCACGGCGATATTAAATATATAAAATAATACGATTAATCCACAAAACATTGTGTTAATAAAGGACAACAATGTCACAAAGGAAATGTACATTTTATACCAAAATAAAAAAAAAACACAGAAAATAAAAATTTCCTCGTTTGTTCGTCTTTACAATTTTATATGCACTTTCATTTGCGAATAAAATTAACAGTTGCCTGACACTGATATTTTAAAATATTAAATAAAATATTAAAATATTAAATATTACGAAATACTGTCAATACCAGGGATTAAACTAATTATATCGAGATAATGATGAACGCAATTTTATCATACAACCGATATAACGATGTTTATATTATGCAACAATATTCTCGTGTTACCTAAATATATAATTTTTACAATTGCCGCAACGATAAAGTTTTTAACGAAAAACGCTACTGACCTTTTCAATTAGAACATTGTTCGACGAAGTACGTACCTTGTAGCAGATAGCTGAACTATCGATTAACATTGACCGATCTTTCGTATTGTATATCCCATATTACTTAAAATAGAAATCCTAGCTATGAACCTGTCCACTTTTGTTGGTCGTATTTTTCTGCCCTTGGTATACATATTTGTCCGCGTAACATCGTAACGTATGTAACAGCGAAGATAATAATTATCGTCTAGCCAAGTCGTTATTCGACCTTAAACCTTAGATTAATTCATGATCGTGCGTATTTTGAATTATCTTTGGCAAGCCGCGTCTAACGCAAGCAAGTACTTTCTCGCGAGATTGTAACAAGTAAAAATAACGCGGTGTGTGATGTAAACAGCTGCGTAAAAGGAGTGCACGTCCGTTTTATCGATCTCTAAACGCTCGCAGAGAAAGTGCAAAGGACATAAAGACTCGACGCGTTGCTAAAAGATTCCCGACATTCTCAGCGTTCTTACTCTCCAGTACTTTTCTTTGCTGATGTTTCAGAACGAGCATAAGGGCGCGTCGAAACGTGGCGGCTCGCATACGCGCGGCACGGCAATNNNNCGCGGCACGGCAATGTCCTTTGGCTTTCGACGAAGACCGGCCTCCGGGATACCGATGCCGATAACGAGCTACACCACCGAATCGAGCATTCTGCATCCACGGTCGAAATCGGCCGGACCAGAACAGAATCGTAGACGGGATGACGACACCAGTCAGACGATTCACAATTCGTCATCCGGCAGATCGACGCCGCGGCTCGCTCCGCCCAAGAAAGAATCCAGCGGGATTGCCGTTAGGACGAATCGTTTCGGGTATCGGCAGTCGCAACCGAAATTCACCAACAAAGTCAGCGACATTTGCAGCAGTCACACGGTGAGCCATTACAATCAGGAGAAGCTACAACAACACCAGCAACAAGAGGGTTTCGTGAAACAGCCACACAGGGTGGGCCAAGTTTCGAACGTGCCGCAACCGACAAAAGTGAAATCGTCACCGGTACATAATACCGTTTCGTACAACAATGCTAATACTATGCATACGGACGCAAATCGCAGAGTATCAGGCATTCCAGAGCCAATCGGCAGGTATACTCTGCACGCCAGACATCTGCCTCTACCTCAGTACGCTGTAAGAATGACCGATGCGAACTCGAAGGTGGCGAAAACCGCGGCGAATCAAAGCAGAAAGGTGTCCGCGGCGTCGAAGAGCTCGACGAGCTCGAAGGAGGGCTCGAGCACGGAAGATTCCGGTGTCGGAAGTCAGCTAGGTTGCGCGGGCGAGACCGATTCCAGGGGCGTGGATTATACGGATGGATCTTTAACAAGAAGGCGTGGTATGGGTAGATCTAGGAACTTGAGGATGGTCGTAAATGGGAAAAGTTTCGATGTCAGGGATGTAAGGGACGACGATAGCACGGTCACCGAGATATCTGTTATACCGTTGCCAAAAACATTCATCGCGGCCAACACCGGCCTGGTACGAGAGAGAACCACGCAATATCAAAGGATCGTAAATAAGGACAATAGGTATATCGAATCTACGACGTCCATGTCTACCACCTCGTCAGAGGGTTACGACGAAGGATTAGGCGAAGAGAAAGTTTACAAAGACAGATCACATTCCGAGAAGATTCCTTCTATTAAGTCAGACTTCAGTCCACCGAGTTCCGATGACCCTGAATACGGTCATGGAGAAGCTATGGCCGACGAGTATTCGTTGAGCTCGAGCGACGAATGTCAACGTTCTATGTCTGTACAACACATGCAAACTTCATCTTCGAGTATGTCTAAGTCTGGAACGCTCCCAAAAACTCCATTGCGTTCCGTGCTTCTTACCATCGAAGATCCTGCGTTCGCCGCAGCTGCGGCTACGTCAACAACCCTTATAGATGACGAAACCTCGCCTGTTGATAGTCTTTTCGACAGTCTCACGGCTAGTATTACTCAGTCGGACACGAAAGCTCCGAAAAGGGAGAACGCGATGGAACAATCTGGCATCGTTATGGACGATGACAGTCCTGGAACGCCAACCAACGCCTCGAATTCGTTAAGCTTATCGGAGGGCAGAGAGTTTTTTGACGATGAGATCGCTGATCAACCTGGGCTTGTTTTTGACGATTCGAGGGCTGGCGCTGAAACACAATCTGCTATGGCTAGTCAAGTGGTCACCGAGAACAGTCACACTCTGGTCGAGTCTAGTCCTAAAACAGGTGAATATTTCAGAAATTTATGCGACTAAATTATTCTATTTATGTCGACGTGTTTATTACATTTAACTTACTGTAGTCTCTAAAAGTACGTACATTTTAATTTGGAACGTAATTTATCGACGAGCGATACATAGAATTGCACAGTTTCGATCATGTAAAGTTATATACATATTTTAAATAAACAGTACGACAAATATTTACAAATTATTATTTTTTTCAGGCACTGGACATGGAAAAAACGTAACCAATAGCCCTCACCATGGCAAACGAATAAGTCGAGCTGGCAGTGTCGACACTTTATCTCCTTGTGAATCTATCGCTTCTGATGATTTGATATTGGATTACGAACACAGCGATGCGAGCTCTTACGAAGAAAATCAACATCGGTTGGTATTTTCTTCCATACTCTTCGAATGTACAAATTTCTATATGTAAAATGTTTCATCTGATTTGTATGTTTTAAGTAAGATGATGCGCTTTATATATTTCTCGAATCTTTGTTAAAACGGTATACACTGGCTAGACATATTAGAACATCTACTTGTTATGTTTATTAGAAAATTCTAATAAATTTGATTTTATTTGGTATTTTATATCACAAGGTTTATATGGTGCGAATGAAATAAGAGATTTATAGCAAAATATTATACCATCTGACTGGACAGTCGAAGAAGTGAAAATTGTTCAATTTGTACTAAATATCTGTAGATTTTCTAATATTTATGACTAGCAGTGTGTATATATATTTGATAATTTAAATGGAATTTGCAAAAGTAGTAAAAATTAATGTATGTGATAGCATTAAAAGAGATATGCTAAATATTATTCTGCATTTTAGAATGGAGACAGGCACGGCATTGCAAGATATGGATAACGCTACAATTCTCTCCGAATTGGAGGCCCAAGGCGAAGAAGTGATGAGGCAATGGAGCTCTTTATTGAATACGTGTCAAACGTTACAAGAAACTAATGACACCAACACAATTAACAACAACGTGAACAGTGGATCGGCCAATAATAATAATCAACCAGCCAACGAAATAGGGTGTGTATTTAAAGCTTTTATGTCGCTTTTGAAATTCTTAATCGCTTTGTACTGTTCATGGATTAAAACAACGCATGATCTTACGATAGATATGATTACATTCAGACCAAAATGTATTAAAATCATTTCAAGTAAAATTTCAATGATATTAACATGTTTTTTTTTAATATTATCTTGACGATAGTTCAATGTCCCTATTGCTATTGGTATCAATGTACTTCGAAAAACGCATAATTCTTCTGTAGCTTCAAAAATGCTTTTTTTAGTTGTGTTATGTGTTGCTTTGTCGTATGTTACTTTGTACGGATTTATTCTACAGTATAGTATGGGGATAATTCAATTTAATGTATGACACTTAAAAGTTATTTAACGATTTTAAATTTATCTTATTAATTGTATGCAATGAAATTGAGGAAGCTCAAGTTCATAAATTTATTGCATAGAAATTTGCTCTGATAATAGAGGTTTTTAAGATTGTATATGTACCCACAAAATGAACGTTATTAATTATAGCTAAACATGAATTAAAGTAACATTTATTTATTTATCGAAGGAAAGATTATCTACGATTTATACATTTCTATTTATGCGCACAAGTCACTAGTACTTTAAAAGTAATGCAATTTTTTTTTATAAGATATGATTAAATGAAATTTATTCTTGAAAAAGAAGTAAATAGAATACAAACGCAGTACACAGATATTGTTATTGTTAGATCAGTTTTTATTTCAATTTCTAGGATGCATAAGGTAAGTCATGCATTGCTGTAGATAAATATAACAATCCGTGAATATTCATTGTTTTTCTTATACAAAAGAAATCATTTAACATAATTTTATTCGGTTTCCGGTTTGAAGTCTCTTTTCTTACCAATAAGTTAAAGCAACGAAAGAAGAGGAAACGAAACAGAAAACATTTGCCAGTCAGCTTTGCAAAAATTGCATATGATTTATTTATAATTTTAATTAGACAGCAGTATTTGAAAACAATTCGACACGTTGATTTTGTACATAAATTTGCTAATATTTTTTGAAAAGATTATTATTTAAATATGATAAAATTTAATACGATACTTTGTAAAAAGCAATTAAATATATTTTGCGTTATTGGCTGTCTTACTTTTAAATGCATGATTCTTTCTTAAGCATGTTTTGAATTTAGTAATTTATAAATGCAGTATAATTTTGTAGAATATTTGTGTATTAGTATTGACAACTTTTGTTGTCATACAGTTTTCTATTTATATATTAATATATAAAATGAAAACTGCATAGAACGACAGAATTACCATCGTTATTAAACTGCTAATAGTAATAGTATTATGACAAGAATATCTAGCACAATGCTTAGATATAATATAGGGAGAAGATGTCGTATTTGTTCACTTTTTTTTTAATTTAAAAGAAAAATGTAAATACGAAGATAAAAAGTAATACTCTTAAAAAACATGAACATATTTATTATCAAATTTTAAGAATTTTAGCAATGAAAAATATTTATATGATCTTTAATATTAGCATTTTATATGCATCCTTTAAATTTTAATGCACATTTTATCATACTTTATGAGTCCTATTTTAAACTAAAATATTGAAGTTTCATATCCAAGTAATTAAAGCCTAAAAATCAAAGGAAGATAAGTACAATTATCTTGTATTTATTTTAGCATATCATTTTACTTACAAAGCGAATATTTACTACACATTTTGTTTACCATATTCAATACCTTCAATGATTTTGTACTTTCTCAAATATGTATCATTTAAAATTGTTCATAGCTTTTGTAAAAAAACAATTCATGCAAATATCCTGTTATTTACGTATTTCATAGATCTTGGCTGAAAAAATATTCTTTTTACTCTTTAATCAATCGTGTTAATTTTTTTATAATCATAAATTTTAATGTAAATACTGTTTACTTATGACATTTCGATAGTCGTGATATACATACACATACTGTTTATTTTTCCGATTAGAAAAATATGTATTTTCCTTACAAAATTGTTTATCCAACAGTAGAAGGATTAAATGGAATCATTTCAACGCATACATTTGTGAAATACGCCAGGCTATACGATATGCAAGAGACACTATTCTGTGATGGATAAAGCTATGTCTCATCCATTTAAAACTACGTCTGCATTTCCGACATGCGGAGACTACTCTGCAAGCGAGATATCACACTCGTCAGAACGTTCATTCTGAAATCAATAGTTAGAAACTCTATAGAAATTACTTACACGGATGCACATGAAATGAAAAGCGGACGTGTTTTTAGGGATGAATATGCAACAATATTTCTGTTAAACAGACATATTACTTCATACCAAATGAAACGTTGCTAATTGTCGCAATAAATTTATAAAAGAAAATATCTCTTATATCTGTCAAATACTGGCAATGTGTTTTAAAGGGAAATATATTTTTATATCTTAAATCCGCGAGATAATACTATTTGAACATTTAAAATGTATAATAACGTTATACAAATTCATTTTTATAAACAGTTATTTCATACATTTTATTCTCTTCTTTCTTTTAAGTAATGCAAAATGTTTTTGTCCCTTTTTAATTTCTTAGGCCGCAGGAAAATGTACCTGTGAAACATACCGAAGTTATATAAATAGATTTTTGAAACATAATAAAAAATCGCGGTGTATTTAACTAATTCAACTCGACTCTTAACGAATATCATTCATTTTACACAGAATACACAAGCTGTAAAGATGTAAAGAAACTAGGATTTCAATCATTAACTATTTACCTATTTATCATCGTTTTATAGTGTTTGCTCTTATTTTGGCAAACGAAAAGAGCCTATAAGATTTTCAAAACATCTTTAACATAAAATTGAAATACGGAATCATCCATATTAATCTTTCGAACTTTAAATAGCTTTTTTAATGCTAGAAAAATATAATTGCGTCGAAAATAACTGAAAGAGCAGCAGGGGTTGAAATTTGGCGCGCGTCTGCGCGCGATTCCTCTATTACCCCCACTGTACGGCTTCCTTCTCCCCCATTCGCTGACTCAGACGAGTGTCATGGCACCGCCGGCAGCTCGAGCTTGAAACGCGGAACGCGCTTGTTACTACTGTTTAGTAACGCGTGTGCGCTCTTACCGTTCGTTGTTTCGTACAAGTTTTCACTCGTGTAGTGTTATCGCATTCTTCCATTCTGTTTTTATCAAAAAGTGAAGTGCTACACGGTGGTAATTGATACATAGTGCAAGGCAAAAGGAAAGGATAATAGATTACTTATCTGTACCTTATCAAGAAATTCGTTCAGTACGTGACTTAATGTTTGACAGTGTTCTGTCAAACCGTAAAAGAATATCACGTTTTCGAGGGTCTTAGTGAGTAATTTCATTTCACAAAATTGTACGTGACACGCTTTCCCTTTTCGCGAAGAAACGGCTATATGTTCTTGGTAGATTATTTCCCGAAAAAGGCATTAAATGGAAAGATTAACGATATACTATCAGTGTTTGTCCTACTGTTCTTACGATATCAGTGAAATCCTCTAATGAAAATTTGTATCTTGTTGTACACAGGAGTTGTAATAGGAGTTTATCTTTCAAATTACATATAGCAACAATATTACTTTATCGACTGCGGATATTTATGCAAATTTCATATTTTTATAAACGCAATTAGAGAAACAGAATGTAAGTAGTAATTTGTCCATTTACTAAATATTAGAATATCAAATACTTTAGATATTTTCTGACGAGTATTCCGTGCATTTTTGTATTTTCAAATTTTTCATAAAAATTCTACTTGCGTTAAATGAAACTTTCGAACAGAGTAGAATTGAATAGTTATTTTCGTATAGGGGCATTGTTATTAATATTCAATGTATAATATGAAGTATACAATATCAAAACGAATAGTATATTATATTTTATATGTGGTATTCTAATATAAAGATGTATTCGTACATGAGAAAAATGTATTATTTAACAGTCGTACTTCCGAAGGATTTTATTATGTAATTTTTATGAAATAGGTAATTTTTTAATCGGTAATTTCAGGTTGAGCTTATTGTTTATCTTTTAGTACTTTTAACGTGGTATCCTGTAATTGAAGATTTACATGGTAGAAGCGGAACTAAAATTCAGTTCAAAACATACAGTGATGTAAATATATAACAAATTTAACGTGAGATATTAACACATTCCATAGCTTTTATTTTGCGTAAAGCACGCGTGGACATCGTTGTTAAATTAACGTACAATTCCAGTTGTTACCGACATATGTAAAATTAAGAGAAACCGTTTAGCTTGATCGAAAAATTCTGTCGCTTCCTTCCAGTTTTTCGCAAAATGGAAAAAGCAGACTAAAGAAAACCAGATATTTTTAACGATTTCAAATAATGTAGAATCTCAGTTATCGCATACCACGTACAAATATTTTGCTCATCTACGAACATTATTCATTCGCTGGAAATATTAATTGCAAGCATCAATGGCTTCATGTTCAATTGAAAGTCACAACTATGACCCTTCCACCGATGATTCCTTTAAAGCTACTCGCGTATCAAGCAACAAAGATTAATCTCAACCAACGCACTTTTATTTTACAACACACCTTGCAGGTTTAAATTACAGAAAGGGAAACCGCTTTTTATCATTGAAAGAATGACGTAAACAGATAAATTAATAAGTTTTATCGAGTACTTTGTTAATAATCTGGTGATTTCTAATATTTCTTGTTTAGAATCGTTTTGCTATCGTCTCCTCCTATTCATGAAATCTGTAATAGACTTTGTTTTCTTGTATATACATTTTGTATGTATATATATATATGTACAGGGTGGTTGGTAACTGGTGGTACAAGCGAAAAGGGGGTGATTCTACACGAAAAAAGAAGTCGAAAATATAGAATAAAAATTTTTCGTCTGAGGCTTTGTTCTCGAGAAAATCGACTTTGAATTTTGGCTCGGTACGCGTAAAAAATAAAAAAAATTTTATTCTATATTTTCGGCTTCTTTTTTCGCTTG